CCCCCCACCCGCGCGCCGGGGCTGTGTGGGAGGGGAGGGGGCAGCGGCGCTCCCCGCTCCGAACACCTTCAACTATTAACGCCCAGCGTGGGTAAAGAGCTAAAAAACCTCCTAAACACACACAGTCCGAGTTACTATCGTAAATAAACAGCCCTCAAGTTCACCTGCATCACACTGCCTCCCTCCGAACTCCCCCTCAGCGCCCTGAGGTGAACACGGGCACAGAGGGAGATGCCCCGTTTCCCCGCGGGCTTTGAAGTAACCGCAGACAAGCGTGAGATTGCATAGAAATGCTTTATTATGTTTATTTGACCAAAGTAATTGAAATAAGGCATTGCGGGTTAGATGTAAACATAGAGGTCAGCTGCACGGCAGGTGGCTGCTGCACAGTGAGCAGGTGTATGGCAACAACAGCAAGAGTGTCAATTTCTGCTTCTCAAGGGGAAATACAAATTCAAAGTTACATTAATGTTTCTTTTTATTTGTTATGAATATGGTTTCTCTCGAGATTTGATTGTGAAAAGCAAGGTTTGGATTCAACACAATGGGTTCAAGTCTGAAAGACCACGAGTTCCAGAGATAAAATTCCCTTTCACTACTGCAGCCCTTGACACCTAGAGAACTACTCTATATTGTACAAAGACATTTAAATTTTAAGTTCATTGAATATTAGATATCCTGCATGTGAGCACACTGTTATTACTAACATGTGCTTTAAGTGGCACTTCCTTTAAAGAACATTATACAGCATATTTGTTTTACTTACATTCTGATGTCTGATTTTACGCCATATATTAATATAGAAAAGGATTCTGCAAGATTCTGCAAAGTAGTAATCATCTGCCCTACTTGTCACTGACAATGTCTCTAGCAATAAGTTCCTTCATTATTTCATTGGTACCACCATAGATTGGCTGAACACGGGCATCCACAAAAGCTCTGAGGGAGGAAAAAAACAAAACAAGGAAATATTACAAACAATGCCTCAGAATGACCATATATTAAAAAAAATAAAAAGAGCATTTTATCTTTAAAGATCCCTCTTTTCAAAGTATACTCTTCCCATTGATAAAGTAGTTCTTATTTTCTAAGAGGCCTCAACTCCCTGGAATATTACAACTTTCCAGGGTGCTGTGTGCCAAAGCAGGAATTGGGTCAGCATCTCTTCCCTGTTTGTTTATAGTGTAAAGTCTCCACTATTGCCTCTAATTAAACAAAAAAAAAATAAAGCCCTATAAACCCAGACTCCTGCTACTACTCCACTCCCAATTCTTGTTCCTGGTGACAGCACACAGGATGATGACAGAGCTTTTCCATCTCCATTCTGCTTCCTCACACAGGAGTAATGTGGCATTCTCTGGAAATCTACTTATTACTGGACCTCAGAGACAATAAAACCCTGTGTGGGGAACTACTGCACACACAGACATGCAGGGCTTCAAGGACACCCCAAACTGGCCTTCCTTTAACAAGACAGTGCAGATCACCCACAAATTAACTCCATGAAAGCATGGAGGAACAAGTGATTTTAAAGCAACATTTCATACTCAATGTATTTCAAGTTTAAAAAAAATCTGAACCTCCTCAGTTAAAAAAATTAGCTTACTTATGACAACTGCACAGCAGTCCTGTGTTTGCTAGTTCTGCTGTCAGATCACCTCTTTGATATATTTAATAAAAACAGCACAAAATCTCCATTTAGTGTGTCACAGCCTGTACACAAATTTCACAGATAATACATGAGGATATATAAATGCTCCATAAATGTCTCTAAATTCACAAAGTCAGAAAAAAATGGGAATGGCAAATTTCTTTGTCTACATACAAATCTCTTAACCTCTTAATTTTCAAAGGTGTAAAAGAGCTGGATGTAGCCAGTTATGCTCTTGATTTAATTACTTGATACTCAGTGGTGGAAAAAACAGGTTTTCTTCACCCACATGCATTTAATTTCAGATAAAACATAGAACTAGCTCCCCTCATTTCTACTTTTTATAGTTTTACTTCTGTTTTTTCAATTAACATTTTTTTCTAAAAAAACAACTTTTGTGAAAAAAAAAAAAAAAAACCAGACAATAATTGCTGAACAGATCTTGAGTTATTTGGAGAACCAAAACAAAGCCTGCAGATATCTGAACAGTAATTTCAATTAAACACGATGAGAAAATGAACATAAATCACTACTAACACTAAACAACTAACACAGATGCAGAGGAAGTGCTTCATTTGACTTTGCTGGTTATCTTTCATCACACAATCTGAAATGTTCCACTTACTTTGCAATTGGATACTCCCACATGTACCCCCATCCTCCGTGCATCTGCACACATTGGGTAGCAATGCTGTTTTGGAGATCAGAACACCTTCAATGGCCAAAAGGAAATTTGCTGTTAGAAGGACATCATGTTGCAAAACATTACAGAAGATAAAGATAGCAAGACAAAACCAAAATATTATTAGTAAGAAATAAATACTGCTCAATTGAATGCATTAAAGGTTTGTTTCCTATCTGGGACAGCTTTTGGAGAAGGAAAGGTTTCAAAACAGACAGACTTGTTTACCTTTCTCACAGGCCAAGAGAATCCTTTTGTGAAGCAAGTTGGTACAGTCCAAATCACTCAGCTTTGTCAGAAATTAACAATAAACCAGGCTTCCCCCCACCACTGCCATTAGCAACACACCAGGATCCTCTTTGAGCATACCCATCACCTGGGCATAATTTATTTTCTGCAATAAACTTTCCCAATAGCTTTTTCTGCAATAGCCTTCAATTCTAAACATACTGTAATTCTCCAACAGCATTTGTTGACAAAATATGGATTTATAGCAGAAAAAGTATTTTTTTCCAGCTCAAGCTGTAGTTAGAAGACATGAAAAAAAACCACTTTCTAAGCACACAGCTTTCAATGGCAACAAAAGAAATGAAAAGCTAATTGCTTCTCCTGGAATAATGGTGTTTTCCCCCAAACCATCCCCTCATTCATTTAAACCCTTACAGTTTATGATACCAAATGTAATTCTGCAGCTGTGAGTTACTGCAACTGTCTTTCCTAAATATATTTTCAAATTCAAAATTTTAGGTATGTACCACAACCTGTCACCACAAGAAAAACCAAACCAAAACAACTCTATAGACCTTTTCCAGATATGAGAAAAAGAGATGCACAAACCAGGTTTTAAACTCCTTTAAAGCTCTAACTCAAGTCATTGACTACACAAAATGCCTGAAGGGAAATTCAAGACTGGAAGGAATGTCCCAATACATCTGGGAATAAAGCAATTCTACATTCAAGCATTTTCTAGACCATTTAAATGAGTCTTAGGGAAGGGTCACAGGGACACCACTGGGGAAAGAGGAAACCCACAACAAACTATGCTGGCAAACAGCTGTGAAAGTGAGGGATTTTCAAAAGCCTTGCTGAGGGAAATGTGTTGAGGAAGTGAGTCTGCATACCTCAGCTGGCATTAGTGGTTTTCTCCTCCTCAAAATGGAATGCCTTTGCTTCTGTACCTGGTACTTCTAGGTAATCACTGCCAGGAATAGCACTCAGAACCCTTCCTTCCATTGTAACTATTTCTGCTCATTTCCTCTACACTTATTTTGAAAAGCCTAAAAACTGTGTGTGTACCTTCCATAAACTTCTTTGCTTATGTCTCATGTGGGTTTTTTCCTCCCATCTTTGCAACAAGCTGTAACTATACAAATTTATGTACCCCTACCTTAGATATTTCTTAGATATTGTTTTGATGGGGTTAAACTAAGTTAACACATGACAACACCAAGTACAGGGTGAGGGAGAAGTAGTTCTGGACAATATAGGAAAGCACTGCTCAGTCTCACAGCAACAGCTGTAGCCAACTATTTCTTCCCAAAACCAACTAGCTTTGAAAACTGGCTGGGCCAAACAGCTATTCTCAAGTAACCTTAACTAAACAGTACCACAGAGCTTCAAATACATTTAAATTTGGCTCAAAATACTGCTTTAAAACACAAAAAGCCATATACCCCATTAAAAAAAACAACAAAGAAATTGAAATAACCACCCAACAACAAATTGCTAACAATAAAATGCAAATTTTTTGTCTAAATACCAATGGAGCACTTGCTTTTACTTCAAGCTAAAGCAGAGGCATGACCTTGTTATTAATGGAAGCCTATTTTAAAAGTAAGCATTTATTTTGAAATTGATCTGGTTAACCACACTTAGTTGTCAGTGTAACTCTGATTTTTGCTGCCCACACCACTGGAGTTCAGACCATGCCAGTGCCAGTCCCAGATGACTGTGAGCACGTACCAGTACTTGGCCATGGAGGCTGTGGCAGAGTCCAGGCGTTTGTCTGCATGCAGCTGCAAACAGTTGTCCATAAAAGCTCGGCCCACACAAATCTGAGTCTTTATTTCTGCCAACTTGTGCTGTACTGTCTTGTTTTGGAAGAGGATAGCGAGAGGAAAAGAAAGAAGTACAGTGCAGTTAATATTTTAGGTAGAAAATGCAGCATTTTCCAAAAGGATTGCTGATAGAAATCACTGTTTCACACTTTGGCTCTGTACATCAGAAGATACCAGATAATTATGTATTAACCAGTCCTATCAGACAAAGTTACTGCTATTTACTTCTCAAGGTCAACTGAAAACACAAATTTAAGAGAAAAAGCACAAGAGAAAGGGAAAACAAATTCCTAGAGAGCACATGGCAGAAGGCCCAGAGCGCTCTGTCACTCCCGGCTCCCTCTGGCGAGGAATGTCCTTTCACTCTGCAGAGCCATGAACTTTCCCAATTAATAACACTTCACCATCTGCTGAATGCTTCTTCTATGTATTCTTCAGAGTTTAAGCTACATGCAAAGAATGAAGCAAAAAAATAAAAGGAATTTTGGAATATCAATGTTTCTCAGCACTGAGTTCTGTCACATTGGAAAAGAGGTTTAGATAGAAGAGGTAAAATCCATCATAAGGTTATGTAAAACCAGACCAGGCAGGCATTCAATCATCTTCTTCTAATTCTGGTAGAAAAGGGATAAAAACATCATCCACTAATAAAAGTTCTTTCTTATTTCAGTTCTAGAAATATATATTAGGAAAAAAATCTTGCTTCCCTTGACAATACATACACTGGACCAGTGTACTGCTACAAGGAAAGAATTCATTTCAAATGCTGTAATGTGGCATGACTAAATGAATTAGCCCAAGGCAGAGCTCTAATTGGAAAGGATTATTTATAATATGCACACTCAAGTCATCAGCAATAAAAAGAGATATGCAGGAATTCATTATTTTGGCAAAAATAATATACTTTATAAAATTTATTGTCTGCCTGCTGGTGGCCTGGCCTAAATAGGGAGATTATTTTGGAGATCTCTGCAGGGTGAACTACTACAAATAGGAAGCATCTCCTACCTACATTTAAACAAGTTGAAATACAGTTCTTTTGTGTTTCAGTCACACAGTGAAAATTCCATCTGGAATTATGGAGTCCTGAAGGTTAACTTTCAAAACCATGAAGATCATAATTCCCTGAAGGATATCTTGCATTCCAGCCTCTAAAAGTTTCAGCTCTAGTGCTCTTCACAATGGAAGATTTGAGTCTGACAGTCTCAAGACATGGAAATGGATTTTTTTTTTTGTTAATTATTTCAAAAGTGTATAAAATAAAGAAGCAGCCAACATCTTTAGCCCATATGAGTCAGTTCTATCCTCTAAACCAAACATGCAGGAGCTTGGCCTCCTTCAGCCCTAACAGTTAATGCTGTTGTCAGGAAAATTGTATTATAGCAATCCAGTGGAAAGCAATATCTATTTTATGACTGCAGCTAAAGAGTGCAGGCAAAAACATCTCAAAACTGAATTACCTACCCCCATCAGGAGTGAGCTCTGCCCACAGAGCATCAGCCAACAGTTTTACACACAGCCACACAAACACCCAGGCTGCTGCTGCCTGAGCAATCTCATCACAACATTCATGAAGCACCTCCACAGCACTCAGGCAGCAAGGTCACTGCTGGGACTCCCCCTCCTCCAGGAACATCCAAAATAATTTTCCTGCAATGCTCTGTGTGCAGAGGAACACAGGACCTGCACAGGCAGCCCCCTAAAAGGATTTTAGGCACAGACAAACAGAGGCAGGTGTGATGGAGCCTGTGATTAGGGCCTCTGGCAGTAAAATGCAAGCCTGAGATGAAGAAGGGAATCATTCTTCAGCAGGAGCCAGGATACTTCCTGCTATTTCCTTCTAACAAACAGCACTGCTGGGAGGTTACCTACCCAAGCCATAAAATACATACAATTAAGGCTTTTTTTTTTTAATTATTCTTTTTGCATTCCAAAAATGAAAAATAAGCATAGAGGCAAAAACCAGCCCCAGTGAAAGCTTTGGAAATGACCCTTTAAAATCAGCCTAGTGATTTTCATTTGGTCACTACTTCACATGCACAGCCATACCACAAACACACACCAGAATCTGCACGCAAGCAGCTCAGTTCTAACTCACCTGCAAATGTGCAATTGTCTTCCCAAAAGCTTTTCTTTGCCTCACATAATTCCTTGTCTCTTCAAACATGAATTCACAGCTAGCAAGAGCCATATCAGCAATGAGCAGTCTTTCCTTTTGAAACACAAATTCCAGAGTGCAGTTGAGTTAGTCCTACATTTCTCCACATCAGATGCACAATTAGGACACAGCTGTTCAGTGCTGTTCATTAAGGGAGTGGGAGCAGAAGTCACATAAAACATCACACCAGACATACTGCATTACTGAAATTAATGAGTTGGACAAATGCCTTGCTGTCTAAAGCTCACTTTTAAGGCTTTACTGGTGTAATGCTCCATTACAATGACTCAAAAAATAGCTACAGATCGACCACAGGAATCTTACTGACTGAAAAATTCACATCAGATTCTGTTTCAATTATTGGCTTCCACTGCTCAGCTAAAACAACAACTGTATTTAGCAATTTCAATAGGACAACTCTAGGGGGGAAAAAGCCTACAAAAAAAGTCTTGTTTTTCCTACTTCATTGCACAGTGAAAAACAAAAACTACACGCAGAGCAATTTTTTCTGGCAACATTGAAACAGTCTGATGCATTGCATTGAATCTGTTCATGGGACATCTATTTAAAGCATTAAAAGATTTCCTTTGATCAGGTTTTGTATTTACTCACAGTGTAAAATTAAAAAATACGATCCCTACTAAATGAGGCAACTATGTCATAGCTTTGACAAAGCACAGACACATTCTGGGAAACAACATTGCCTCCGTGTCCTCCAAAATAATTCCAAAACTTCATAAATTAGCAAGGTAAACAATTTGGCAGCTAAACAATTTCTTTACTTTGTTGTATTTTAATTCCATGTAACTTTAATATGCTTCTACTTGCAGAAGAATCAGAACAGCAGTGCTCGTTTCTTGAAAGAGAATGCTAAATGAATCAGAGATGACCAAGCTACACTTAATTTACTGAGCAAAGTGCTTTCATACTAGAAGTACACAAGAAATCTGTGGTATGTTTTTTTAATACACTACCCTCAGGTTTTTCAGTAGCTGGGTTGCTGATCAAGAGATCTGTATTTCAGTTGGTGGGATATCATTACTTTTAGCCATGCCCAAAGAATTCTACACCTAGCACTGTGTGCTTCAGTTAAAAATCAGCAGTGTGAACAAAACATTGCACAATAGACTGTCAGAGACTGGAAAAGACATGGAGACATTTTGGGATGAATGTGTGGGGGTAGGGGGGCAGGATGGGCCCTGCTCTGCACACCACAGCCCCCAGCCAAGCCCTGCAGTGTCTGCCAGCTGTGCCACACTGCAGGCAGTGCCCCAGTCTTGCCAAAGCCAGCTCCTGAGTGACCACAGTCCCATCTGGGAGGGCCAGGGTGCCTCTGGGGTTTAAAAGGCTGACCACAAGGGGACTTGTCTTGACCCTATCAGCTTCTTGGAGACTCTACCTCATCATCACTGGAACTCAGGAGTTGGTAGTTACATGTGTGTTTTTCTGTCTTTTTTCTATCTCAAATTCTTTTTCCATTTTGGGTCATGTAACATCAGACAGGTTTAAAGGTTGCTAAGTTAAACAGACTAAGTTAATGCTCAGGCATGAGTTTTATGTTAATTGGAGGTCCTTTGTCAAAGTTCCTTGATTTTCTACATTTTGCCAGTAAACTTGGATAATTTTGACCTCTTGAGAATATCTGGTTGCTACTTCTCCGGGGAGCTTAACCCATAGAAATGTTCTGGGGTTTTACAAAGGCATCCTGCTTCAGCAACCCAGGTGGCTCACCACAATACATGAACTTCACAACTAATGACAAAATCTGTGTCTGTGTTCTTCCTGCAGACAGCAAACACTCATATTCCTTTTACCTGAGGCAGCTCTGCCATCAGATAGTAGAAGCCTTTGTTCTCTTTTCCAAGCAAGGCACTGGCTGGCAACCGCACATCTTCAAAAAACAGCTCTGCTGTGTCCTAAGATTGAAAAGGCAACAGTTGAATCTGACATTCTCATCCTATTAAGCTAATTTTTTTCTATTGTTTTCTTGTTATGTGCACCTTGACTTGAAATCCCAGATTTAGCCTGGAAGGATCCTCCAGAAGTCATTGAGCTTACATCCTACTCAGAGCAGCTCCAGAAAAACAATCAGGTGAGGGTCTTGTCTAGTTAAGCTTTCCAAAGCTCAAAAGATGAAGGCTCCAGGGCCTCTCTCAGCCCCTGTGCAAGTACCCAACCACTTTTCTGGTGGATCTTTTTTCCTAATACCTGCTCTGAATTTTCCTTAATGTAACTTGTCTCCTTTGCCACTCTCCTCCTCAAAAAAGGATGAGGCCCCAGCATCTCTATAGCTAAACACATCAGTAAATTCCTGTTCTTTCAGGCTTCTTCAGAGCAAATGCATCCAGCTTGCTCAGCCTCTCTTTGCACATCACATGCTCCAGACCTTCACAGGTAAAATCAGGATCCATTACATTGCATGTTTGTGCTCTGAAGTCTAACAACTAGAACAGAACCATAGTTCCATCTTATATTTATTTAGCAGGTGCCAGGCATTAAGTAGGTTTAGACTTCCTCCAAATCTATTGCAGCAGAGGCTGTATGAACTCACTTGAGCTTTCAGGCCAATTTTGTTGAGTTTGCGCCCTTTGATGAAACCTTTTGTTCCATTTTCCACCAGGAAAAGGCTGATGCCGTGAGCAGGGGATCGGGCCTCCCGGTCTGTAACCGCAACCACGATCACCACGTCGCTCATCCAACCATTGGTGATGAACACCTGCAAGAAAAAGGAATTTAGAATAAAGCAAGGTGGACAGAAGTTACAAGAGATCACCAAGTAACAAAAAGTAAAATCACATTGGCACTTTCAGAGGTGAACTGAAAGGCAAGTTCAAGTGTCCAGAAGAATTTCAAGCTTTTGATATTAAGTGTTTAGGAACAAGGCAGACATTAATTTGAGAAGTATTGTGTGGGACAGAAGTGTGAAGTTAAAGAATGCACAGATCTGCTTCTTCTGTCGATATTAAATAAACACACAAAGGTCCTCTTGTCTAGAAATTAAATTATTTAGGCACAACACTCAAAATTATTAACAGCTTCTTGTCACAACTGCTTATTATTCTGCTGCAGAAAAGATGGATCCATTTGACAGGCTCATGAGTTAAGTCCAGCAAAAGAAAGCTTTCTGTCCTGTTTGGCTTCAAATGAGTGGCTTGGGCACCTTTTTAGCACCTATGCATATATATATCTGCTTGCACACATTGCCACCACTGAAATTCTGCTAAGACCATTAGTCTCTATCAGTACTGTTATCAGCAACAGTACAAAATAAGATTAAGACATTCCATATCTTTCAAAAAAATGGTCTGTTGAACCCACATTCTGAACCCACAGAAATCGTGGCCACTATTTCTGCCTTCTTATTCTTCATTATGGTAATGATAAAATCTGCTTAGCCACAGCTTGACAACACAGTGAGAGCATCTGACACATTGTTTTGTTTTTTTCCTAACAAGACCAGCAAGCTCCTGAATAAAGATTGCACTGTGGCAGCACAAGTTTTCACTCAGGCCACAGAAGATTTCACAGCAGTACTATATATATTTTATTGTTAAACATCAGTACTGAGAACCATACTGTTCATACTACACAGCACATTTTCCCCCCCTCTCCTTCACAGTTTAAGGAAAATAAGCCATTTAATAGGCTTATTTTAAAGCTACAAAAAAACAACCTATACAAGCCTGCCTATAAATCAGTTTGTAAATTGCCTGCAACAGACATATCTCAAGACCTAGAAAAAAAAAAGTAACTGGGAAAAAAAAACCACCTACAACATCACCCGGACAACCCAAACTAAAAGGATTGGGAGGAGATTCTGAGAGAAGTATACATCCTATTGCATTCAGCTAAAGGTGTTCAGTTCCTAAAGCAAATGAGCAGTATGTATGTCAGTGCACTTACCTTACTCCCGTTAAGAATCCAGTCACTTCCATCTTTTTTTGCATATGTCCGTACTCCCTGCAAGTCACTGAAACAGAATTCAAAAGGTCCTTTAAAAAAAATTCCAGAAGCTACATTTTTATCTTGGATTCTATGCAGTACAAAATAAGGTAGATTTTATACCATGCAGACATGGGCTTAGTGAGAGAATAGTGAGACACCATGAAACAGGTGAGTAACAGAAGCCACAAGCAGGGTGTGGAAAGGGATGACAAATCTGTGCAGCCATACTGGAGTACCAGGCCCCATTTCCCCATCCCTGCTTGTGGGAAGTGGTGCAATGCAAGCACTGACATCAACAGGTCAGCATCCACTTACACAGCACACCTCAGACAACAAATGGCAGATAAAACCAATCCTCTTCACAGGCTCAGTCCTGATCAGGAGGCTCTGTGAAAAGCCATGAGCAACATCTGCCATTTGGAGAAACCTCACACCAACAGGTTTTGCACTTCACGTGTCCCTCTCTCTTGCAAACTGGTCAGATCAGCAGTGTCTACTCCAAACATGTGCTGGGCAAGGAGGGACATTTCTCTGAAAGGATTCAGAGAAAAGAAAAACAAGGTGTTCTGTTCTACAGAAAAAGCTAATAGTTGAGCCAGGCCTTCTTTACCAAAGTATGTAATTTCCCATTTTTTTTCTCATGTTATAAGTATGTTCACATGCAAGCAAGTTGATAACTATAAACTCAGACTGCAGAAGCAAACACAAAGCATATTTGCCCACAGTGGGACAATACAGAAATGGATTCTGAGCTACTATTTTGAAATGACAAAGCTGTAATAAAGTAGTCTATAACAGGTGTTTTGAGTCTTGCCTGTAATGTGGGATAATCCAGTCTGTAAAGTAACTAACCAGGAGGCTCAGAATGTTTTTTTCACTGACAAAGCAACAGACAGCAAATAAAGTTGAGACCATTGTTTTAGTATTTGGCTTACCTGCCAGCCCCAGGCTCTGTCATGGCAATAGCTCCAATGCACTTGCCTGCAACCATCTGGGGGATGAAGTGTTTAATCTGTTCTTCAGAGCCATAGTTGGCAATGTAGGGCATGACTATATCTGAGTGAAGGCTGAACCCTGGGCCTGTACAGTTAACATACATCCTGGAAAAAAACAGGAGGGGGGAAGTTCAGGAAAAAATACTAACAAAGACTTGAACACTGAACTTGCACCATTACAATACAGAGACAGTAATGAAGAGAACCCCACTACACAGCAGTCTCAGAGATCTTTAACCATTATTTACAGAATTTAATTTCATTGCCAAATAGGTCCATAACCTACCAGGCTATAAAAAAGACTTCCCCCAGTCACAAAGCCAATGTTACTCAAACACAGAATACTTAAAACAGGAGGGATTTACATAGATGTAAACTATCCTTTCCACAGGAAAGATAACATCATTTTCTGTAAGGAAATGTAGTCCAAAATTAGTACTAGGATAACTTATGAAAAACAAAATACAGTCACAAACAATAAGAATTAGTACTAGGATAACTTATGAAAAACAAAATACAGTCACAAACAATAAGATCATGGGAATTCTTCTTGAAGCATGCAGTACTCACTGCTCCTCCCAGACGATGGCTGAAGAGAGAATATCTGCTCCAATGCCTCCATGCTTTTCAGCAATAGCAACCCCCAGCAAGCCCTGCTGTCCAGCCTTTTCCCAGAGCTCCCTGCTCACTTGGCCATCCTTCTCCCACCTGTGGGATGAACACAAAGCCAGGGTCACACACTGAACCCCCCCACATGCTCCTATTTATCTGCTTCACACTGGAACACCAGCAGAGAGTGTGAAGGGACACAGACAGCTCTGTGTCACAGCCAAGAAACAGTGGCTTAACCACAGAGCTTCTAATCTGCAAGTCCACAGATGACACTGGCATTGCAGGGACACCAGCTGCAAAACAAGTCTGAACTCCTGCTGCCAATGTGTAACCTGACAAGATTTCATTAAGACTTGTTATGATTCTTACACCAGACTGGGATTTAGGCAATTTAGCCCCAACCATCTGGATAATTACAGGCAGGTCTTTATCCTCCTAACATTCCATTTGTAAATGCACTTTTACCCACATAAAAAACGAGTATCACTATATTATTTATTATATTATCATTATCATTATAGTATATATCATATATATTATATTTACTTTAATGTTGTGGTATATCTGTGCTATATCTGTGCTATATCTGTGTGATCACCATTATATTTCATCAAAGATTTCAACTCCACCAATGAAAAATACTTTATCAGAACCAAATGATACCATGTTAGTTTTGTATAAAAATCTGTCCCTGTGCAGTTCTTATGAGTCACTACTGTATCTAAGTAAATTACTGCTTTAAGGTCCTTTCAAGTTTGTGTAAATAGATAGTTGAGGCTTATCTGCTGACAGCTGGCAAACTTTAACACCACAGGAATCACCTACTCCTGGAAAATTAGTGCTTCTTTATGGGGTTTGCCAACTCAATAGGGATGGCCATTAATAGTCCAGGTTTTCTCTTTTTTTAATGCCTTTATTTTCTAATGCCACAGTTTAAAAATTATATGGTAAACAGATAATTTCAGAGACATTTCTTTGACACACCTGTGTGCAGCAGAGCTCTACCACAGCTATTTACCTGCAGTTAATCAAGTATCTTATCCTACATACAAAACAGAACCATAGAATCACAGAATGGTTTGGATTGGGAGGGACCTTGAAGCTCATCCAGTTCTGACCCCCTTCCATGGGCAGGGACACCTTTCACTAGCCCAGGTTGCTCCAAGCCCATCCAACCTGGCCTTGAACACTCCCAGCAATGGGGCAGCCACAGCTTCTCTGGGCAAACTGTTTTCTCTGGGCAAAAGTAAGCCCCTTACTTACCCTGAGTTAATTTGTTTCATATTCACCACTATAATGTGATTGCATATCACTAAAGTAAGGGCTAACACCACCCTCCAGCCCTAGTGCAGTGGAATTGCAACACTTCTACTCTACACAGAAAATGCACGTATTTCCACAGAAACAAAAAATAAAGAAATTCAAACAAAGATGTTTTGTGCAAGTTTCTTGGTAATACATATATATGTACTTGCATGTAACTACAAAACCTACTGCAAGATAGTAAGAGATGATCAAAGCCTTTTTCAGTGACTATTTTCCAATAGTGTGGGAACTGAACTGCTCCCCAACTCTACCCCAAAAACATCAGTTAATCCTAGAGGCAGGGAAACTTTGCTGCAACTCTGCAAACTGCATTTGTCTGCTCATGGCCTAAGCTGAGGATGCCTACACTGGAGCTCAAAGGATGCATTCAATTTTGATTATGTGATTTTTCCTCCATGCATGACTTTTATAGGTTTGTTTTAATTTGGCAAATTTGAAACAGAAAGCTTGTACATAAAAACTAATAATCTTTATATCCTGCTGTATCAGAAGTAACACCACAGAAAGCATTTTGGAGAAAAATGAATTTTGGCCAACCAAGATGTTTAGGAGGTTATCTTACTCTGCATGAAAAGGCAGCACTTCTTCCTGAAAGAACTTCCTGGCACTCTCCCTGAAGATATCATGATCTGATGAGAAGATCCTCCGAGTGCCTATCTCAGTCAAAGTTTTAGCAGAAGATGGCTCCAGGCGCTTTGTGCCATGCTGTTCTGTCTGCAGAGGACTGGAAAAATACAAATTAATGCATCTGTTAGGACACAGGCAGCCTATTTGCCTTTCAAAAGGGGGGGAAACTCCTGTGTTACTAAACACAGCTCACTTCCCAACTCTGGCACACCATTAGGTGTAAAGGATACCCATGATAAATACAAAGAACTAACATACACTGGGCTATTAATGGAGGTAAAACAAGGCTGGTTTGTTCTTAACACTTCAAATAAATTAAAAACAATAATAATACATATATAAGAATAAAATTACCCTAAAGAAAACAAAAGAATACTTCAATCAAAGAATCCCAACCAAACAAAAAAAAAAATCAAACAAAAAACCCCAAAAAACTGAAACAGTGGTGAATGTCAGTAGTAGAAACCACACAAGGAAAGTATAATTATGACATAAGAAAGAAGGGGTTATAACACTTTTGTAGGAGTTTGGAACATCAAGGATGACATACTACTTTAAGGCTGAAATGAAAATTCACTTCTCATATTTGTGCATTGGATTTTTTTGCTTGCTTTCATTGTATTGCCACAAAACATTAGACACTTTAAGTAGAAAGCTGAGTACATGGAAAAGGCACTCACTTTTCCCTTCCCAAACTATTTTGCCAGTCTCAGTTCCTCTGCACATCACCTGTATGCAGTCCTACAGAACTGAGCTGAGCCTGTGCTTATTTACTCTGCTACAGAGACAGAAGTCTCTATTTACTACCACATGTAACTACTCAGGCTCTGCCAGGGCAATAATCCCCCTGAAACACAGACTCTACTTACATCTAATAATACTTGGAAAAAAAACGAGATACAGGAACTTGCCTGTTGAGTACTTTGAACCCTCAAAGCTAAAAACACAGTGACTCAAAACCTCCACCTTACTTTTAAAGCTGCTTAAGACGATGTTGAGTTTTATTTAAGCCCAACCTTTTGTGAACTGTGTCACACTGGGAAGGGCCTGAAGTTCCCTTCTTCTCACACTGGGAAAGACAAGCGGCAGGTCAGGGAAGGTGCGATCCCACTCCTGCCCGGGGAACGCGGTGCCCGGGCAAGGTCGCGCCCGCTGTCACTGTCACCGTCACCTGCTGCCAGCACGGGACCCGCCGCTCCCGGCAAGTGGAGCAAAGGTCGGCACATCCCGGCCATGGATGTACCGGGGCTCCCCCCACACACACAGCGCCCGTAACACTCCCGTTACACCTATACAAACGCACCCACACCCTCCGAGCACACTGAGGTGAGCACACACACCCGCACAGAATAGATATAATAGTACGAGATCATACAGCCAGCCCCGAGTAGCCGGGCAAAGCCATTCACCCCGCGGTCTTTACAGAACCCAAGCTCAGGGGAGCTCCGCCACCCTCACGGCTCGCTGCCCACCAC